GCGGCGATCGCGGGAAGAGGGCTGGGTTTCGTGGGGCGAGCGCCCCTTTACAGGAATCCGCGTTTTGTGGGGGTCGCTTGGTTGGTGCCTGAAGCATGCACCACGCAGCAAAGCCGCTGGCTGAAACAAAAGTGCTGGATTTCTTCCTTAATAAACCGTGAGTCCAGGCCTGGAGCTTCTGCAATAGAAAGGAGCACGGTGTCGGTCTTTCGGGTTTAATAATAGCTTCCTGGTGATGCTTGGTAAAATTATGGGGATTTTAGGGACTCGTTTCTGTCGGGAATGCTGAACCCGGTTTAGGGTATACGGCTAAACACTGTGCTTCAAGTGCTGCCTTAGGCCTGTCAGCCTGGATGATTGTGTCAGTCTTGGCTGGCGGCTGTCACATGAATTTGGGCACCCAGTACTGCACCCTGTTCTGCTGAGGCCAGCTTCTCGTTCAGTTACCCCATCAGCTTGTTGTCCTGCATTGGTTTCCCTGGGGTTGGTTTTTTTTAAGATAGTGAAACGAGCCTAATCAGGCTTCTGTTAATTTTGTGTCTTCTCGGGAGTAAACTGACAGATATAATTTTAATGAAATCATGGTGACAAGCCTTTCCTGGGGTGGTATTGCGCTTGTGTGGTGGAGAGAATACTGAAATTGGCAGGGGAGGGTCAGGCAAAAGCTAGGCCTGTGGCATGTGTTGCAAATGATGTTGCAGTTCAGCTTGTCCGTGCTGAGACACCGAGCGCCTACGTCAGTCTGTCCAGCTACGCCAAGCGATGTAAAAACGAGCCTGATTTGAGAACTGGCTTGAGGAACTTTTGCGAGCTTAGCCACGTTAGGCAGGGAGAGCAACTCTTGAATGAGCATCTGGTGGTGTTAGAGAATAGGAGGCAGTCGGGTAAACTGGCTCTAGCATGATTTTTTTCTGATGTGTGTTGGTTTTGTTTGGTTTTTTTTTTTTTTTCATCCAAAGGCAAATCAAATCTAGGGTCTGCATCAGATACAGGATCTTAGCTGTTGGGGGCTGTTGGGGTCGTGAGCTGGAGTTCTTCCTTCTTCTCACCTTCTGCTGTAGGTTTGTGCTTCTCTGAGAGCTTGTGGAGCATCCGCACAAACTCTGCCAGGCATTCGGTAGGCTGCACTTGAGTGAAATAGGCCTGACTGTAGAATTCTGATACAGACCATCTCTGTTATGCTGGTGGCTTTTTAGACTAAAACTTGGGGTTTGGATTAAACGTAGGGGTTTTGCCTAAAACACTGAGGGGAGGTTTTCTGTCAAAGTGGGAAAGAAATGACGGAGTGGTACTCACTAAATCACCTTCTAACTCGCTGAGCACTCTTTCTGCAGCAGTAAAATCTGGCAAAGTGCAAATTCACTGAACCTGACTGTTAAGGTGCAGAAAATGTCTTTTCCATCTACTGTTCCTCCAGTGCTTGGGAGTTGCTTCCCGTTTTTCTGGGGAAAATGCCATTGAACCCATCATTAATAGTAATTAAAAAACTCTAATTGTCATCTTTATCTGTTATTCAACACAGTGGATGCTGGGTTTTCTCAGAAGAACTTGGTTTTTCTTCCATTTCTTCTTCTTTGCCTTCTTCCCACTCGTTGTCCAGTTTCCTTGGCAAATGTGGTCTGAATAGTGTCACACAATGTTGCCCGCCTTCTGATCACCAAGTAACACTTCCCTGACATCACTTTAGCTTCCGCATCTGGCTGAATGAAGGAATGACGCCTGTCAGCTGCAGCCTTTCTCAGCGAGATAGCGAGGCTCTACGTGCCAGAGGGAGTCAAAAATTGACTGACTGTGTCTTGGGTGCTGCCCTTCCTAAAAGTAGAGGGGTTTTTAGCGCTCCTTGCAAACTGAGTGTGTAGTTTCACACGTGCGTGAGCTAGCATAGTGGCTAGTACAACTGTTTTCCCACTGTTGTAATTTCACAGTGATCCTTGGGTTAGCGTAGCAGAATGGTGTGAGTAAAACACCCTAATAACCAGATCACTCTATATATTATTCCTCCTTTAATATGGATTTTATCTTCCTAGTTCCGTATTGCCAAGCCAGTTGTCTAGAAAAAAAGTATGTTGAAAATGCCCATTGGCTTACTTGAGGAATCCTGGGTATGCCTGATGCTCCAGCATTTTGGCATGCTTTTATACGCAGTTCGTAACTGCAGCGTGATTAAATTTAAGGTTACATGAATGGTCAAGGTGCTGGAGTGATTAAATTTAAGGTTACATGAATGGTCAAGGTGCTGGAGTGATTAAATTTAAGGTTACATGAATGGTCAAGGTGCTGGAGTGCTCCTTATTTAATGGTTCTTACCAGTGGTATTGGACTAATAAGCACATTTGATGTGTACTGTGGACAGCATGTGAGCTTTCCACCAGAGGAGTGTTTTCTCTGATTTGGTGGGGAATTTGGGGTGGCGAGTGGCTTGTTTTTAAACTCAAATCTCCCCAGCAGGGTACCTTAAAGTTTGATTTCCAATTTGGCCACACAAAGTTCTGTCCTCTTACAGCTTCTTGCTGTAAGGAAACTAGGGTATTAGTGCACGCTGGAAGGAACAATCTAAGACTTTCTGTGCAGGAGAACGTGGATGGTACAGCTAATGGCACGTGCTTTGTGCGCACGTTTACGTGGCTGGCTGTGCTGCTGTACTGGTTTGCAGCATAGGGTGAGGGTTCTGTTTGACACCAGAGTCGGTCAGCACGTGTAACACCCTGGGATAGCGAACTCTGTGTAATGTCTTCCTTTTGAGACTTCATGAAGAAAGCAGAGCTGTTTGAACAAGATAATTAAATCTCTCTGGTCTTCCGGAGGCTCTTTCAGTAAGGCACAGAACTTGCAAAGCATAGTTCCTTGAAGTAGTTTGTATTTCCATGTGTGTGGAGTATCTCTTCAGTAGCCTCCTATTTAATCTTGTAAATCACTTCAGCTTTTAAGTTTTCCCACAAAAAGATCTTGAACGCCGTGTATTGGGTTTTTCCCCATTTTTTTATCTCGTCAATACCTCTGCATCACTTTTGGTTGGTGATCTCGTGGGCATCGGAAAAGCAAAGGATTCTCCTCTTGCTCTGCTGTGAGATCAAAACCTGCCATTTTTTTTAAGGCCACGAGTTATGCGAGGTGGATAGGGGATTACGCATTGCATACTGCTGCAATTTATGGCTGACATGAGTCTATGCATTTTTTGATTTATTGACAGTGAAGAATGCGAGACCTAACGGCTCGGTTAACGAGCAGTCTGCTGCGGTTCCCAGAGGTCACTCTTCAGGCACTTGGGGAAGATGAGAGAACCCTCGATTCTCTGCTGTGCGGGAAGTTTTCTGGAGGTGAGCATTTTCCTTTAAATTTGATCTTGGTATAAAGTTATCACTGCCCGGAGGTTACCTGAAGCATAGGGTCATAGTGTCAGGTGTGTCAGGTTGGTGCTGTTAAGCTGCACCAGGTTTTGAGAGAAGAAAAAGGCTGCTTTAACTGTCAAATCTGCCAATACTAAAACATTTGTACAGTTGATGTAGTTCAGTGAAACAAAACGTGTTCAATTTTTTCTGTGATCAGCACCTGTTAAAGTTTAAATTCACTCCTGCGGTGCCCAACTTCTTGTTGGAAGTTCAAATCTCTGCCCAAAGTAGGCACGTGTCAAGTAAAATCAATAAACTAGAAATGAAGTGGCTTGGACTTGTTATATTTGAAATATTCTTTAAGACTTGTGTTCCCGAATGTCTTTAGATGATTTAGAGCAAAACCAAGCCAAATATGGTCTAAGACTATAGATGGATAGATTGTAATCTTTATCCCAAACAGTCAGCATTCTTCAGTGTAGGAGTGACAAGTACAAATGCAGAATAATGAGGTGGTTAATTTTAAGATGTATTTTGCTTGAGGATTTCAGTGGGTGATTTTAAGGAATTGACCAGAAGTAGGTAAGTCGGCCTTCTGTTTGGTACTTTCATTGAAGGGAAGGGGCAGTGACCGTCATTTTTTCAGTTGTTTTCAGTCTCCTCTCAGGAATTTGCTTTAGTCAGCTTTCTTCTCTCTTCCAGGGAGAAATGGTCTAGCGTGGCTGGCGCGTGGTCCTCAACTTGAGGTCGTGAAGGCTGTGACAGGAGAGCGGCTCTCTGCATACCGTTTCAGAGGAGTAAATGATCAGCCTCCCACTGTTCGTGTGGTAAAGGAGTTTTCCTGGCAGAAGAGAACTGGACTGCTGGTTGGGTTGGAAGAAGCAGAGGGAAGCATTCTCTGTCTGTACGACCCTGGAATATCAAGAGTGGTTAAAGCAGTTGTTCTTCCGGGAAGGGTGCGTACTTTTTAATTGGAGGAATGAAGCTTTTGTGGTGTTAGGTGCTGCATCATGCTGTTTTGGGAAAAGCTTTGGCATGTCTCTTTGTAGGAGGCATTTTTTTCTATATTGCATTATATCCTTCAGAGGATCCAGTCAAGAGAGCCTTGCTGTAAAATCTTGGGCTTACCGGTGCCGTTTTCTTTTGAGTTTGCTGATAGTAAAACAGTTTTTCTGGTTTTATTCTCCACTTGCAGCACAAAAAGGTATTGAAACTAACTTTTTTTTTTTGGTCAGAGTGGAAAAAGAAAGAACCCCCCACTCTTTGACATGTCTGTAACATACATTCCCTAAATGGTTAATTTCTGTCAGAAATAGTGTCTTTCAAGTATTTTGAACTTCTGTAGTTGTGCTGTAAATGACTTAACACAATCCCATGAATCTCAGACTCGCAAGCAGGTGACTTCAGAGCAGAACACATTTTTATGTTGACTTAGGATAGGAAAAAAGAGTCTTTAGTGGGTTATCAGACAGATTTTTGAAAGATTGACTTTCAGACTCAAGTCCTTGAATCTCTGCTTATATATACATGTATGAGCACGTTTGGTCTGTTAATTTCACTCATGCGGTGCCCATTTGAAGATAACTTCTTGTTGAAGTCCAAATCCCTGCCCAAAGTAGGCACGTGTCAGGTAAAATCAAGAAACTAGAAATGAAGTGGCTTGGACTTGTTCCATTTGAAGTGTGCTTTAAGACTTGTACTCCCGTATGTGTTTAGACGATTTAGAGCAAACCCAAGCCAAATACGGTCTAAAGACTACAGGTGGATAGATTGTAATCTTTACGCCGAACCGTGGGAATTCTTCAGTGCAGGAGTGACAAGTACAAATGCAGGATGATGAGGTGGTTAATTTTAAGATGTATTGCTTGAGGCTTTCAGTGGGCGATGTTAAGTAATTGACGGGAAGCAGGTAAGTCAGCCTTCCTCTGTTTGGTGCTTTCATTGAAGGGAAGGGGCAGTGCCCGTGATTTCTTTCAGTTGTTTTCAATCTCCTCTGAGGAATTTGCTTTAGTCAGCTTTCTTCTCTCTTCCAGGGAGAAATGGCCTAGCGTGGCTGGCGTGTGGTCCTCAACTTGAGGTCGTGAAGGCTGTGACAGGAGAGCGGCTCTCTGCATACCGTTTCAGAGGAGTAAATGATCAGCCTCCCACTGTTCGTGTGGTAAAGGAGTTTTCCTGGCAGAAGAGAACTGGACTGCTGGTTGGGTTGGAAGAAGCAGAGGGAAGCATTCTCTGTCTGTACGACCCTGGAATATCAAGAGTGGTTAAAGCAGTTGTTCTTCCGGGAAGGGTGCGTACTTTTTAATTGGAGGAATGAAGCTTTTGTGGTGTTAGGTGCTGCATCATGCTGTTTTGGGAAAAGCTTTGGCATGTCTCTTTGTAGGAGGCATTTTTTTCTATATTGCATTATATCCTTCAGAGGATCCAGTCAAGAGAGCCTTGCTGTAAAATCTTGGGCTTACCGGTGCCGTTTTCTTTTGAGTTTGCTGATAGTAAAACAGTTTTTCTGGTTTTATTCTCCACTTGCAGCACAAAAAGGTATTGAAACTAACTTTTTTTTTTTGGTCAGAGTGGAAAAAGAAAGAACCCCCCACTCTTTGACATGTCTGTAACATACATTCCCTAAATGGTTAATTTCTGTCAGAAATAGTGTCTTTCAAGTATTTTGAACTTCTGTAGTTGTGCTGTAAATGACTTAACACAATCCCATGAATCTCAGACTCGCAAGCAGGTGACTTCAGAGCAGAACACATTTTTATGTTGACTTAGGATAGGAAAAAAGAGTCTTTAGTGGGTTATCAGACAGATTTTTGAAAGATTGACTTTCAGACTCAAGTCCTTGAATCTCTGCTTATATATACATGTATGAGCACGTTTGGTCTGTTGCTTTCATTTTGCTTCCTATCTTTCTGCTGTTAGGTGAGTTAGACCAGCATAGGTCCGTTTCTGGACTATTCTCTGTGTGGGTGTATCTTCTGTGGACAACTAAGTTGTACAGGTTAACACTATCTTACAGTAACTGTGGTCCAAGGTGTCAAGCCATTAGTCTGTTAATGCAGCGTACTTATAGCAACTGTATGCCTGCCTTGTAGTGCAAGAGTAGATGTGCAGTCATTCAGAGAGTAAAGGAATGAATTAAAAAAACCAAACTCCCAAGCTTAGAAAGAATTTTGGCATCATATATTTTTATTTTTTTTTTGTGAGAGCATCTCTAATTGCCTTCTGGACATACATGTGAAATGCAGCAGGAAACCGAGAATGTTAATGGAGTAGTATTTGAATTGGGTTCTTGTAAAAGCAAATATGAATTTAAAACATGAATTACATTAAATTGGTTTATAATGGTTGTATGTTTCAGAGCCCTTGAATGGTAGTTTCACAAATTTTCCCGGTTTGTATGAGGCAGAAGGGTAGCATTCAGATGCAGTGAGCTGAGAAATGTTTTATTTGCTCATTCCCAGAATGAGCTGGCAGTAGTCTAGGAGAAGATGAAAAGCCAGTGCATAGCGCAGTGGAAAAATATGCAGTTTCAGGAGCTTCTACATGGAAAATCGAAGGGTTAAAACGGGGAAACATTTTTGGAAGATTGTATGCCGAAATGGGAAAGGTAGATTTGGAGCCAGTTGTACAATGGGAAAAAAAAAAAACACCTTGAAAGAAGTTGTTAGAAGCAGCACTTGACATTTTGGCAAATTCTGCAGCAAGATCCATACAGTATTTTTGCTTTCCTCGTAACAGTGATCAAGACTTGGGAGCAGCAAGAATGGGCATAATCCAAACTGCTTTGATAGTCCTTTGAGTAGCAGAGAATATTGGAAATTGATTTTGATTTAGAGGAAACCTGAAACAAACTGAAGTTGCCCTAATGACTATAGGCACTTCTAAGATCAGAACTCTTGTGACCAAGATGAAAGGTAAATTCCGTAGTGGATTGCCAGGCAGTGTAGTCATAGCAAGTGCTTGATACAGGAGAGGAGAAAACTTTGGGGCTTAGGGGTTTGGTTAGTTTTCCCCAGCTCTGAGGGGAAAACCATGCATCCATCCATCTAAATAAATGGGCTACCTTGTCATGCCCACCTCTGTTTTCTTTTCCTGTAGAACTTTGTTGTTGATGTAAAGCTTCCCATTTTCATTATGTTGCCTTTTGTAAGAAAGCTAAAGGATAGCCTGTGTTCTTTTGTTGTGTAGCTTTAGGGCAGGAGCCTTGCTGTGCTTCTGTCTCTGGTGTAGCAGTCAGTATTGTCCTGGGATGTGTTGCAGGTGCTGAAAGGTCTGTTGGAATAAAGACCTTGTGCTAAAAGTGGGTGCAGACTGCTTCACATGTTAAAAGAGCACGGTGCACTTCTTCCTTTGCTGGAGTTCGCTTTTTATCTAAGAAGCTGCCGTACATTTTGCCGTTGTTTTAGGCTGGCTTTTACAATTTTTTGTTACCGTTCATCAAAGTGCTGGTGTGCCTTTAAAACTTCTTCTGTTTTATCTGGTTGTTACTTTTATTCTAAATGAGGACCAATGTAAACTTTACCAAGCTAGTATTTCACTTCAAGACTTTGTAAAAACGTTTCATTCCCATGCAAATAGTGTACCTGCCACGCAGCTTGACCGCTGCCTCATCTGATTTACTACAGCCATGATCTATCCTAATAGCTGTTTGGCCAAGAAGGCATAGACTGTATCACAGTGCTGGTGGGCTGCGGGCAGTGGGAGAACTAGATTTAGTTTTGTCTTTCTTACTTAAGTCCCTTAAATATGCTGAACTTTCTTGCATCGAACTGATTTTCTTGGTTTTCTTAAGAAGAGTTAATTACTTCTAAGGAGGGAATGGACATGGGCAAGCTATAATAGTAGAATGCACAGTGGAAATTTAAGTCAGTTCAGTTAAGTAACTATAGGAGATGTAGTAAAGAGAGGGCAGCAACAGATTTTTGTACGGGGCTTTCTTTTTTCTTCATATAATTGGGAACAGTGCTTTGTAAGTCGTCTGATCTGGTATTGACTTTCTTGTTTCTGATGGACTAATTCTGGCTTCCCTTTTGAGTGATTTTTTGTTTCGCTTGTCAAACAGCTTAAATATTAACTTGTAGTTTTCCTGCAGGTAACTGCTATAGAACCCATAACTAACCATGGAGGAGCCAGTGTGAGCACTCAGCACCTACATCAGAGTCTACGATGGCTCTTTGGAGTGGCAGCAGTGGCTACAGATGTTGGTCATGTACTTCTGGTTGACCTCTGTTTGGATGATTTATCTGGCAGTCAGAATGAAGTAGAGCCATCGGGTAAGCTTGCAGTTTTTAAACTTCAATTTAAAAGTAAGGAAGCTTGTGTCTTGTAAAGAAACAATATGCATGCCACTTTGAAGATACTGGTGTGCATGCATTTATGACTACTGATTACAGATAGCGGTTTGACATCTTAAAGTCCTGAATGGATTAAAAATGGGAGTGACTTAATATTCCTTGTAGTGTTATAAATGCACCCATCTCCTACTGTGATCCCTGTGTCACTATGATTCTTGCCAGTGAGGTTTAGGAGTTTTACCATCTGAGTCAGTGCAGTTGCCTGATAGGAAGTTGTCAGAGGTGCCCTATTTCTTGGCAATGTTCCTCTACTTCTGTTCATTGACTTGGGGCAAATCTTAGGCTTGTTTATTAAAATAAATCCGACTTACCAAAAATCATGCATTTGGATGAATGAAATCTAATTTGTGTATTCAGACTGCATACGCTGTTTTGGCTGTTACAACAGTAGCTTGTCACTGCAAATAGCTTCATCATGAGGCCCAAACTCCTCATCTAGAGACTCCCAGAAGAATTTGTCTCTGAAGGTTATGCCTTTACCTGGTTTTGAACTACAAGTGAGAATACCTGTCTGATCAGAGAGTTCTTGCATTCTTTGAATACATACAAAAAGGAAATGGCAAAAAAAGCATAAACGGGTATTTTGCTGGGACGGTAGAATTAGATGATACAAGTCACGTCAGTGTTTAAAGTGCAACCTAAATGGCACAAGACATTCATTTATTGTGTCGTTCTGTGTGTGCAGATCTTGAAGTTGTCACTAGAATTACTGCTGAAGTTCCACAAAGAAGAGAAACTGTGACCAGAGAAGAGAGACATCTCTGTTTTCAATTACAGCATCCTTCAGGAACAGCAATATCAACCCTGTACTACATAAGCAGAAGCAATCAGCTGGTTGTGGGTTTTTCAGATGGCTACCTGTCACTATGGAACATGAAAACTTTGAAGAGGGAGTAAGTAGGCCTTGGCACTTGGCCACGCCTGGAGGTGCAGGGGTCTCAATTTTTTTGCTTGAGGATAAAGTATGTTGATTTAAGGAGAACTTTTTCAGGGGCTGAACTTTTGCTTAGAATCTTGGAATATTTTGAAAGCCTCTTCTGAAATAGCTTATTAAGTCATACCTGGCTTAAGTGGACTGCCTCCTCCCCAGTGGACTGGGATTGTTTTTCTTCTTGTGCCTGCGGACTGAGGAACTGTGGAAAGCGTGCTTCTTCAGGTTATGTCAGGCAGCTAGGATGTGCTAGTGCTGGTGTCTCTCGGAGTTTGTTCTATCGGTAGTATTCAGTGAAAGCAGGAAATGTGTGTATGTTGATGAAACAGATGTTGACAAATTATTTTTCAGAACCAGTTCCTGCAATTGGGGCCTATGTTGAAAGGCCTAGGTGTGTTAATGATGTGGTTTTAGTGATCATATTCTTGAAAGTGTCCAGGATGAAAGTAGTGAGCTGTAAAAAACCAATAGCTGATCTGTGCCTGAAAAGACATTTCTTCCTACATTTGAGCCTTGACCAAAGTAGGGGGTTGACCCATTCCAAGGCAACGATGCCTGTGAATTAAAGTTTGCTTGGAACACTTGGAGATGAGAATAAGGGATATGTAAATTCATAAGTGATAGAAAAAATTCAGAGGTGATTTTAAATCTGCCAAAGAGCAATCTCACTTGAAGTATTTCACCAAATTCCGATAGGGGTTCACTTCAGCAAATCTCCAGTGACTTGCCAGAAACTCCTGGAGGCACAAATAGACAGTGGAGGAATACTTAGGTGGCAAGAATCGATTGTGAAGATACAAATAAGGCTCAGAAGTCTGGAAGAAAAATGCTTTCTTCCTCCCCTCTTGCCTGTTGCATAAAAAGGAGTTGCTTCCTTGACTCCCTTGCTTGAGATGGAAGTATGACCTTCTGTGCTCTATGTCAGGTGCTCTTTTCTCAGAAGATTCTTCTACAAACAGTTAGGGCCAGTAGGCTTACCTTTTTTTTTTTTTTTTTTTTTTTTTTAAACCTGCAGGCACCACTCTCAGCTTGAAGGAGGAAGGGTTCCTGTCTATGCTGTTACTTTCCAAGAGCCGGAGAATGATCCTCGCAATTGTTGCTACCTGTGGGCTGTTCAGTCTACACAAGAAAGGTGAATAAAAACTCACCATAAGCCACTGAATCTTTTTTTATTTTTTAATGTTTGTTCATATGCAGTAGATACATGTGTATTTGTTTTGTTTATTTAGCTGTGCAGGAGGTTCTCTTGGGTATGGAAGGTGTTAAGCTTACAAGGCAATTTTTACAGGATTTTAACAGAAAGCAAAGCAACAGTGGCTGTATTTTTGTGCATGCATTCTTAAATGGTTTCCTTTGTTTCTGGAGGACTGCTTCATGATTTGTTTGCTATTCACACCACGGTATTAAAATACCATTAAAAGTAGTTGAGGCTACAGATCTAGAACAGTAAACGTGCCGATACAAGAGCCTGCTGCCCCAAAAGGAGGGCAATGACAGTATTGCCTGTGACCTTGTGCCAACTTGAGCAGTCTTGGGAGCCTTCATGAGCCAGTTCAGCTCACCTGGCAGGGAACGATCACTGTTTGGCAGCAAAGTCAATGGTTTCCTCTGGGCTAATGCATTGGTTTGGTATGTGGAAAGGTGCAGTGTGTGTGAGAGAGGGACTGGAACTTTGGTGGTAAGGGAAGGGGAGAAAAGTCTCTCTCTCAGCATCAGCGAGCTATTTAAGCAGCTTAGCTGTTCACAGAGTGGCAACCTTTTCCAGTTTGACTTTAAAGCTGTTTTGATCGAGAACTGTTCACCGTGAAGAACAATTCCCATTGCTTTTTAGTCCATACAACATAGTACAGCTTTCAAATTGCATGGTTAGCATTTGCTCCTGAAGCTGCTAGTGTCAAAATTTCCTCTATGTTTTAGCGGCCAAATGTGACCAATTACCATGTTTTGGGGAGTGCTTGTTTTTCTCTTCAGCAAGAGCATGCTATTAAGAAAACTTCAGTCTAGATCTAATAAAACGATGACAAGGACTATAAAGCAGCTGTGTAATCAAATTTCATCATTTCTACCTTTTTCAGTGAAGGTGATGTTGTGAGTTTACATCTGTTGCAGTTAGCATTTGGTGACAGAAAACGCTCGGCATCAGGACAAGTCCTGTATGAGGTAAGAGGTGCAGGGATGTGAAAGGGCGAAAATAGTAATTTTCTGGAAGAGAGTATCAGTTAAGTTGGCAAGGGTAATACTTACCATCAAAATTCAGAGATTACTAAAAAAAAAAGTCTTTTGCTGAGTCTTCTTGAGCATGGCCTTTGCCCTCTGTTTTTGAAAAACAGTCATACAATTTTCTACTGCAGTGTTGCATGTTCCAACTAGATTTATCTGCAAAGAGCCCATATCAATTCAATTCCTGAAAGGGAAGCAGCTTTTACAACTAAAATTGTTCTTCATTTAAACACCAAACTGACGGCACGTGGGAAGAGAAGATGGGGCTTTGACTAGCTTAGCTGAACTGAACTGCAGACTTGAATAAGCTTCTGTCGATCTCCCTTCTGAAAATACGGTCATATAGCTTTATTCTTTTCTGGTCTTTGGGTTTATAGTCTTATTTTTCTTTTGAGCTCTGTCAGCAGGACTCCAAATGAAATGGGCCTACAGGGTTTCTTAAGTGTTGATCCTGAATCTTAGTAGGTGTGAAGACAACTCTTTCAACTTTTTGGCTGGGTTACATATGAAATCTACTCTTAAAGCCAGCAAAATACGTAAATACAGTAAGCAGCGGTATGATTTGGTCAAAAAGAGTGTCCATAAATTTTTAGAACTGGATTCAAAGATGTTGTGTTTAAAATATAGGTGAGGAGGTATCGTATCTTGCATGTCTGACAGATATAAGGTGCATCTGTATAATGTATCATTCTATTCAGTAGTATGCTTTCAACTCTTCCAAAATCTTTTTGAGAGGAAAGTAATCTTAATTCAGAGCAATTCTTTCCTCCTGTTTAGATACTTCTCTTGCATATTCTCAATAGGTATGGAATGAAATAGGGGTGATTCATGTGTCGCAGTACTGTTTTTAGAGACTGCATTCTGATTTTTTTTGAATGAGGTTAAATTTGGGCCTTTTTCATTCCATATATGAAAGCTCCTTCCTCATCTGTAAACGTTGCTTTTGAATAGATCAAGGTTAGGTGTTTGGAAAAGGTGGTGTTTCTTTAAAATTATCTTTCATGTTGACAAGGTATAACTATCTTCAGGTGATTCAGCGTGTTCTGAATTGTTTGTTATTGTTTCCACTTCCCCTCTGCCCCAACTTTGTGGGGGGGACTGGCTCTTCACACGTGACTCAGAGTTGAAATTTCTAGCCATTAAAATGAATCTCTAAAAGGTTTATGGAGTTTTGGTACTTTTTCTGATGCAACGGTCCTTTGGAGCGGGAGACTTGTTCAGGACATCTTTATTAAAATTGGTTTTAGTGATTATTCCTTCTGTAATAAAAATGAGATTCTTTGCTTAGGCTTCTTGCTAGTTTTTTGAAGAGGTGGTTTAGATTTTTCTTATCCACTCTGCACGTGTCTGCTATTTACAAAGTTACTTCATAAAATAGAATGAACCATGCAAGCTTCAGAGCAAATTCTAACATTTGTCTTTTTAGTGATGAAAGATGTAGTTTTGGTGGGCTCTTTTGGGGTTTTTTTTGGTTGGTTTTTTTGGTTGGTTGTGTGGTTTTTTGGTTTTCGTTTTTTTCCCAGCCATCTTTTAGTAGTATTTCCTAGAAAGGTTAAGAGGAGGCTTGTCTCTTCTCATATTAGGTGAATTAGATGTATTGCATCAAATCATATGAGAATATATTGTGTCATGCCAGTTTGTTTTTAGGGCTCTGAAAGTTTAGGAAACTTGGGTAGAATGTGGTATGATGGTTTTTTGTTTGGTTGGTTTTTTCCTTAATTGTACAGCTGCTATTTACAACACACACTTCAGGCATCGTATAGTAGACAGTGAACATGAATGCTGTATTTGGAAAAACAGTATTTCAGTTAATGCTTCCTTAGAAAATGGTGGCGTCAGAGGTTCAGCACAGTCCTGCCAGGGTTTCTGCATACCTCGGAGTAGTTTGCTGACTCTGTAGTAATTTGTGATCCTAAACGTGTTGCCCATGTGCTTCCTGCGGTCCTCTCTGTTGTTCCCTTTTGCTGTTGGCTGTGCTTGGTGAAGGAACCGATGGATATTTCACCCGTTAGTCTCTGACAGGGTTAGAGGAGGAGCTGGTAAGAGCCTATGTGGTTTGAAAGAAGATTGTCAATCAGTAAGGAGTTCTTATAGCTACTGCAGAGGCATGCTTTTTCACTCTAGTGGTGTGCCTATAGGTAATACCTCTCAAAAGAGCTTTAGCTGGTGTAATGCTATGACTTCTCTAACATCATCAGTTTTGTAATCAAGTGACGGAGCAAAGAGCTCTGCGTGCGTATGGATTGCACTATTTCAGATATCTCCCTGTAGATACCTATTTAGGTGTGTATAAGAAACCTTGATGTTGCATGGAATTCTGCAAAACATGTTTAGAACTGAATAATGTTAGGGAAATGTTAAATTTGGAAAACGTGCAAAGCCTTTCCAGCCAAACTTAGCTCTTATGATGTGACTCCTAATCCTCTTGCATGTTAGATATAGTTTCTATTTGCTGTCAGAAATAAGCTCATGGGAAATAGACAGTATAATATGCATATTATATTAGCTATATACGTTTTTTCATGTTTAGGTATAATGTATGTGTTTATCTCAAAATGACCTTTTTTTCCTCTTCTTTTTTTCTGCAGGGTTTGGAATACTGTTACGAAAGGTACAGTTTAGACCTCACAGGTGGAGTCTTTCCCTTGAGAGGGCAAGCCAGCAGTACTAAATTACTCAGCTGTCAGACTGTAGAAAAATTTCGCAACCATATTGACGAAGAGGATAGCATTAACGAAGGTTTGTTCTCATGTCCATGTTTGGTTATTCTAAAGAAACGGTTTTGGAATCTAAGCAGTGAATGCTGTTCTGTACCCACAGTTTGAAACTCTTCAATACCGGTATAGAGTAGCTTGTTGGGCTTATTTCAAAAGAAAAGTTGGGTGCTTAAGTTTTATGTGGGACTTCTTTAAGGGAAAAAATTGGTGTTATTTTATGCTTGCTGGACATGCTATAGCAATGTATGGTGGGGTCATCCGTATAATGCTTGTCAGTCATTTCATTCCTCCAGCTGTTGTCTTTCAACAATAAGATCATTCTCTCCATTGCTTAGGAATGTTACCTGAATTTTTTTTTCCCCCCCCATTCAAACCTATGTCCACATCTGCATCCAGTTGGTGGCTGGTCCCAAGTGGTGCTCCCCAGGGCTTGGTATTGGGGCCAGTTCTGCTTAATACCTTTAACAATGATCTGGATGAGGGAATGCAGTGCGCCCTCAGTAAGTTTGCAGACAACAGCAAGTTGGGTGTGAGTGTTGATCTGCTGGAGGGTAGGAAGGCTCTCCAGGGGGATCTGGACAAGCTGGATCAATGGGCTGAGGCCAGCTGTGTGAGATTCAACAAGGCTCAGTGCTGGGTACAGCACTTGGGTCACAGCAAGCCCATGCAATGCTGCAGGCTTGGGGAAGAGTGGCTGGAAAGCTGCCTGGTGGAAAATGACCTGGGGGTGTTGTTGAGAGCCATCTGACTATGAGCTAGCAGTGTGCCCAGGTGGCTAAGAAGGCCGATAGGCATACTGGCTTGTATCAGAACTAGTGTGGCCAGCAGGACCAGGGAAGTGATTGTCCACCTCTAGTCAGCACTGGTGAGGCCACAACTCAAGTACTGTGCATAGTTTTGGGCCCCTCACTACACAGGGACAGAGTTTAGTGGGGAACGTGGCAGTGTTAGGTTTACGGTTGGGCTTGATGATCTTAAGGCTGTTTTCCAACCAAAATGATTCCATGCTTCTGTGATCTGCCTGTACATTTTTTCCTCTCTACATCTAATAGGTTCCTACACCTACAAGTTCTTAAAGCAATAGCTGTCCTTGTCCATATCCAAGAGTTAAAACTCTTATCATGTCTTTCATAATCATGCGATAATTAAATATACATCTCTGGGTTTACAAGTTCAGTTATGCTCTGACCATATCTTTGAGCCTGCCGCAGTGATAACTTTCTTGGCCTTTTGTCTGCGTTACCTTCCCTCTCTTGTTACTGGCCTTAACTTATGTCTGATCTTACAAAGGCAATGCTTGCATCATCTTTTTAGGCAGTTTCAGTGGCTAACAAAACTGAAATGGCACAGGAGTTCACAATGAAACATAGTAAAGTGGGTGAGGACCCGTAAAAGGTATTTGATATGGCTTAGAAGTGATAGAATTCGAACAAGAAAAAGGGGCAGTGTGACTGAAACCTATTATGGAATAGCAAACATCTCTGATTTTTTTTTTTTTTTTTTTTTTTAAAAAACTAAGTATGTGTTGTGCTTCATGAGTGATGTAAGAGAATTAAGCCAAAATAGAAAGTGGTGTTTTAAAAATACCAGCTGTATTGGATTTTCTACAAATAAGAAAAAATGCCTTGTCTTTTACAGTGCCGTCTCCTGACACCAGTGTATCAATCTTCAGTTGGCAAGTGAATACATATGGTCAGGGAAAACCATCCACTTATTTGGGTGTATTTGACATTAATCGCTGGTATCATGCTCAGATGCCAGATTCGTTAAGGTAGATTTTTAACTAAGTTGTTTTCAATACCCCTACAAATACTTCATTTGAAAGTTGGTGTTTAGCTTATGTACTTGTTTTCTTTCAGCCCAGAAGAACTCCTTCATGATTGCCCCTATTTTGCATTGTGGTCACTGGACACTGTAATAAACATGACTTCCCCAAACTTCATTTTGGATATTCTGGTCCATGAGCGGAGCTTAAGTCGAGGAGTCCCTCCTTCTTATCCACCACCCGACCAGTTTTTTAATCCAAGCACCTATAATTTTGGTAGGTATTTCACTGCTTTGGGGAGTAGTAAGCTTAAGTTGAGGTCCACTGCTGTTTATTGGTTCTCTTGTTTGTTGTTTTTCGCTCAAAACCCAAAGCAAAGCCAAAAAACCCCAAACCCCCACAAACCCAACCCTGATTACGTTGTACTGGGAAAGTATTGAATATTGCGAAATGTATCTGACAGTCTGCTGAGTTTTGGGGTTTGGTGCTTTTGTAATATAGCCGGTGAAGTGGTGGTGGTGGTAAAATGAAATGACTTTGAACTGAAGCTCAAAGCACAGCACTTCACTAGCACTAGAGGTAGAATTTGCACACACAGTAATAACTTTTTTTGAAAAAATTTGTAAGTGATCTGATGGAGGAAATGGGTACTCAGTTACGTCCTCCCAGATATTGCTATTTAAAAAATACAAATGGGTGATAATGTAACTGTGAGAGTACAGGATGGTGTCAAAGGTTCCTTCTGTCTGCAGATGGTATGTGCTTGCTGAACTCCGGAGTCGTTCACATGGCTTGCACCGGCTTCCAGAAGGAGGTGATCTTTTACTGCATCTTTCTTGAGAATGTTGAGAGCTGTACCTTTTCTAAGTTATCCACTGCACTGCTTTCAGTGTCAGAGACCATTTTAGGCTCATCCTGCCCATCTGCATGCATAATTGCAACTGTATCCTGACAGTTTTAAGCAAATGGTAATGGCTTAGGTCCACTATTGGGACTGTAAAACTACCGTTGTCTCCTATTGAAGCACAATGAGGGCCTGAATGTCTAGAAAGGAACACAGCATTGCTCTAGGAGCAAGAACAAAAACGTTGTAGAAGTCAGGGAAAGCTGTGACTACTTCATTACCCATCAGTCGAACTGCCTGCATAGTCTGAGTTAGGGTTTTGATCTTGGATTACCTTGAGAAAGGAGGACAGAATGGAGAACACAAAAATTATTTAACTGTTTAAGAAGAAATTAATTTTTTTCCCTCCCAACCTTGGCCAGATCATAACTTGTGAGCCACTGGACAGATTGTAGCAAGTAATGTTGAATTAAGTTTCAGCTCGCTAAATATTTCCAACATCACTCAGCTTCTACACAAACAAGCGTAGAAATGGTCTTCCAAAGTGTGATTTAAAGTTGTGTGTTAGTTTTAACTTACATGTAGAACGTAGAAAGGCCTGTGTATGGACAGAGAATCTAGAAAATACTTTATTAAACATTGCAAGGGCTGGTATTTTGTCTTACAGGACAAAAACTTAGTAACTGTTAGTTTGGGTGCCATCTTTTAAGACTCTACACCGTAATGCTTACTCAGATTGCTAACCTAAAGCACGTTACTGATGCAAGCTTTCTGGTGGTTTAAGTGAACATTTCTATTCTTTCTCTGAGTGGTTATGCAGAACCTTAGTGATTGACTAATAATGCGGTCTTCATGTGTGGTTTTTGATTGCTGTTTCAGACCTTGAATTTTTTAAAGAAATCTGGCCCTTCAATAAGCGAAGCCATTCATGACTGCTACGGGAGGTGTCTTGTAGCTGGCTTGCTGTCTCCAAGACTAGCTGATGTCCAGCCATCCAGTTTGAGTCCGGTGAGTGCGTATCAGAGAATTAAGGGGGAAAGACATCCATCTTGTCTGACAGGGCTGTAGAGGTTACATTTGCAAGTTGTATTGAAATGCAGGTGTTGACTTTAATGAGCAGAAGCAATAGTATTCTTGGATCCAAACTTACTTAGGCTGGCAACAGCCCTAATTGATCTGTCTCTAGAGACCTGTCTATTAATTCTGTGCCACAGGTAGGCACAAGGAAACATGCAGTCAGGGCTGGTCATGCACAGCAGAAAGCATCTTTCCCTCCAAACGATCTTCGTCCCCGCCAGTTTCTCAAAGCATTACGTTCAGTGCAGTAACTGATGATGGGGGTGTCTCACTCGGAGGTGAGCTATTGGAAACATAGCTTGCTACGCTAGATGTGATCGTTTGCTTACAAGGAAGTGGGCTGTGGTAAACAATGACTGTGGTCAGCTCTACCTGACAACTTCATCACCACTTCCCCTCATTTTCCCTTCATCAGTCAGCTTTTCTGCAGCCTCTCAAAGCAGAGCCTCACCTCTGTAGCCTTTGCCTTGTGCTACAGTAGCCCAGTGTACTCCTCGACTGCCCTCTTGTCGCTCCCAACACCGTAATCATCTTGATCTCATGACACCCACTACCTTCTATCCGCTTTATCCCACCAGAGTGGCTTCACCCCTAACAGCCTAAGATGTAAACCTGTTAGAATTTCAATGGTTCACCGCTTCTTTCTGTCATTTTAGAAAGTGATAACTGAATGGTTTGGGTGTCAGAACTGCTTCCTGTCTTCATAGTCTAGAAAGCTGCTTGACCTTAGCGTCACTGTCTCCATGCAAACCGTGTATTTGTGCTGTCCCCTTCATGCCTTCCTGATGGCAAACTTGTAGGCAGGGAATGCGTAATGGGTATTAGTGGGGGCTATTACTGGAAAGAGTTAATTGGAACTCAGTAAACTGAGACTATGGTGCAGAGATATGCAAGTGAAGGTTAGAATTAGCCTTCATTAAGTCAGAATGTCAGAGGACAAGTGTAACATGTTCCTCAGACCAACAAGGAGTCCAGCCTGTGGCTAGAATTAAGACGACGACTGTGGAATTAGTTGCATGTGTGCTAATTTACTTTCTGACGCCCAAATGAGTATACAGTTAGAAAGAAGCATTTACTGCTGATGGTTGGGATACTGAAAAGTATGTAAGACTCATTTTATTTTGTCTGTTATGTTTAGGAGGGGCAGTTAGAAGCGGTATTGTCAGCTGCTGTCCAGACAGGTTCTTTAGAACTTCTGACGGGATGCATTAAACATTGGGCATCTGAAGGTAATCCTTCTTATGCTGCTCTTATGTTATATAGGTTTTATTTTGAAATTCTTGATTGATTTCTTTTTTTGTTCTCTTGTTTTCAAGAGCAGCCAAGTTCTGCTACTAAATTACGGTTTGTTCTTGAGTGGACGTGGAACAAAGTGATCTCTACAAAAGATGACTTTGACCAAATGTGTGAGTACTAGTGTAGTCATTCTGCAAACATAAAATCATTCCTTCTCATTGAGCTTATTCAGTAATCTGCTGGTCTATGATATTGCACACGGTTCTCTAGGTGTACTTTGAAACTCTGGTGTTGCTCTGTAGGCTAATGGTTTAACGTTTCTTCTTGAACAGGTGTTCCACTCTTTGATGGCTCTTGCAACTTCATTGACCCACAGACATTACGGTCTCTTCAGCACTGTCAGTTGCTCTTGAGCAACCTTAGCGCCATCTTAAGCTGTTTCCTAACGGAAGCACGAGAGCTTACTGAAAAAGGTTTGTAGTAGTATTGCTAAGTCTTTGGTATGTTTTGTTAAGCTTTGGAATTATGCTTGGGCTGTCATTGTGGAAGTGTGAGCTTTTGTTGTTTGTGCGGACTGGAAGACAGTCAAATTTAGCTGGGCGGAGGGGCTTAGATCTGAGAATTTGGGACTACCACTTAATATGCACTGAGCTCAGGGAAATAGGTTGCTGTAGAGTTCATGCGAAGCAGGTAGGGAAGGCTGCATTCCACAAGAGGCTATGTGAGCAACTGGGTTGAAATTACAGCAACTGAAAGCAGTGATGCTGACAATTATTCTCAACAGACCTAAAAAGTTCTTAGCTCGCAATGTATACTGGCATGCAGATCTTGTATTGCAAATGACTAAAAAATATAAAGGAGTAACTTGTAAGTTACCTGAGTTTCTATAGCTTTTCACGTTAGGAATTCTGGGCATACTGAGAGGGAGAAAGAGAATACCCCTTTGCTATAGTAAAACTATCTGCTACATGAAAAACAGATGTCTTATTCATGAGTGTATTTAATACCTCAGGCTTCATTTTGTTTCTTTTAACCTCTAGCGAATCTGCTTCTTTGTCGAGTTGCTTTTTGGTTTGGTGGTGATTGTGGGTGTTTTTCCTTCAAAAAAGGAAGTGATAACGGAGTGAAAATTGCAAAGGCAAAGATTTCTACAGTGTTATTTTTATGCTTTCTATTTAGTATGATGAAGGGAGTTTTGTAAAAGTGAAAGGAATTGCATAACCAAGGTCATCTTCTGCCTCTTTTCAGGTTTTGCAGACTTGACAAATAAGCGGGTGGTAACTAGCCTCATTTCTTTGTATGCGCAAGTGGTCATCTGGTTCTGCCGATCCAGTCTCCTTCCAGAGGGTTTCGGTAAGCATCAGCTGCGAGACATGTGTAACAAGGAGACTATGCAGGAAGTGATCGCTATGAACACGTGCTTAGCTGTGTTTTTGTAAAGGTTTCGTCCGTCAGAAGTCCTGCTGGTGTAGTGACAGCGTATGCTGAAGTTCTGTTGGTGCGCTTGAGATTTTACAGCTTCTTCCAATACAGGGTGTAGAATAATGCAAGCAGTTCCTTTCCTGGCTGTTTTCTAGGAATAGCAATAAGCCTCTGACTTCAAGCTGTTGCTTGTGTCCAATAGCTTGAAATACTCGGGCCTTTAAAGAAAGTACAATTCAACAGCACCTGCTGGAACGCTTGCTTTTACAGTAAAAGCATTGCCTGTGTGCGTTGAACTTGTTATTTATTGCCTGAGGAAAAAATACGCGTTGGAAAGACTTCTTTATTTGAATGGATTATAAGTTCTGTTGTCAGCCTTAATGGTATCACAAATGCTCAGGTGACTTATTTCAAAAGCCGTTCCCTTTGAGAATTGTTTTTTTTAGAGTCTATTTCAGCTTACGCTACAGGTTCTGAGCGCTACATCGGCTGTAAGCTTGCAATGGCACTTGAGCAAGAATTGATTACGGCTCTCTTAGCAAAGGCAGAAACAGGATTGGCTTCTTTCAAAGTTGGAGGCTTCTTGATGCTTAGCTTGTATGATTTTCTGTCTTTTTTTGTTAAAAACTTTCATTTAAAAACGTCATCTTGCTTCTTGAACTTGCTTTTCCTTTATCACCTGTAGATGATGATATGCATTTGTCTAGACCTATCTACAATTATCCTCTGATTCAGAGCTACTACGCTGGTCATCGGCAGAAACTTGAGCATTTATCAAGGTAAGGCTTAGAGGGAAACTCTAGAACACTTCCACTGAAAATTGAGAAGCAGAAGTGGATGGCTTCGATATCAACAGTTGTATTCGCTATCCTTAATGCTTTTGCCAGCGATACTCTTGACTGCTGGGATGCACATGTTCTGTTGAACACGTTCCTGTGTTAAAATGTTTATCTGTACCTCTGCTTAATGCCATTTGTTGGCATCACCATTTTTTTGTAGCGTACTTAATTCATTGGCTAATCTGTGTAGTTTGTTACTACTGAAAAAGATGGTGTGATTAGGATAGGATCAGTCGTCTCCATTTCAGCAAAGGCCGGTGTTCATGGAACAATCGTTTTGGACACAGAAGAAAGCGTGTTTTTAAAAAAAAAAAAATAATCTCTTACTGACTAGGAATGGATGGTAATAATGGTATTGGCCTAAATCTGCTTTGACTGGTGGCAGATTTTTCTTATTTGTTTTGGCTGGAGGAAAGCTGTTACACTGAGAGGCTGGAATTAGTGTTTTACTCTGTCCAAATCCTTGTTTTCCTTGTGTTCCAGAGGAAAATGGGATTCTGACTGCTTGATGATTGATGGCATGGTTTCCCAGTTAGGAGATCAAGTTGAGAAGTTGTGGCGGAGAGATGAAGGAGGAACTGGGAAGTATCCACCTGCTAATTTACATGTGAGTGTTGTGTTCATGGAAAACAACCACCAACCAACACGCACACCCCCAAAAGCCAATGATTTATGAAGGACAGGAGTTTTTAAAAAACGTGTAATTTTTCATTTCAGGCACTGCTGGATCTGTATTTGCTCGAAAGCATTGAAGAAAGTGACAAGCATGCAATTGTATCCTTCCTAGTTATTTTCATTACCCCTTCAGTATACGCACACAGATGTTCTTGAATGTTTGTCACCTGCATGTTGAACAGCACTTTTTAGCTTGGGCTTCCAACACAATGCAAATGAAAACATTTATGTTCATTAGGATTAAGTCATAGACAGAAGCATTGCTTTATTTCTTTGTACTGTGGATTTTTTAGGGTTCCTTTAATGTTCTGTTGCCAAGTCTTTTCTGATATGGGAAAACAGGCTTCCTAAGAGATGTTAAAGACAGAAACCTCCCTTAGTTTTTCTCAACATTTGACACAGATTTTAACTTCTTAAAGCACCCTTATCTGTAGCAAATGCAGCAGAAAGTGCTGCTTCAGAGCAAGGGATTTCTAACAGGGGTTTACCAGTACCTGCTTTTTGCTGAAATCATCCATTTTCCAGCACGGCTACCAGGGCTTGCTTTTGCTCTGTTACAAGTGCAAGCATGCAGAGTAATAAACAGGGGAGAGAAGAGAGAAGTCATTGGCAGAAACTTAATTAGAGCTGCTGAAATCTACAGAATTGTGTTTGTTGTTTGTTGCCTAAGGTGAGAGGGGAGCCTGGAGAGCAGGGGTTTTAAAAAGCGTTGTACCCCAGAGCTGTCTTGCTAGAATATGTCCCTGAAAACAGAAAGAGAAAATGACGTTCCCAATGAGTGATCCACATACTGTTCTAAATCAGGTTTTAATCATTCAGAACTCAAGTTGTATTGTAAGGACACTGTCATTTATGTTGTTTTATGCACTCTGGAAGCGAGGGGGGAAAAACCAACTGTAGCATTTGCTTGCCTTAAGAATGAAGCGTTGGACATTCAAAGGTTTTGAATGTGCGACTGGTAGCTGCACTGACAACAGAGGGAGCCTGAGTTTCTAACTCAAGTATTTAAATATCTGAAGTTAACCTTTTGGAATGCCTTACAGAAATACCAGAGTCTGTCTTTCTGCTTATTATTGCAGAATGCAGTTTTGTTGCTAGGCCCTGACTGTCCTCAGGTTATCATAGCATAGAATGGCAAGGCTAAGACATTAGTTTTTTTCTGCCTCCTACTGCTTCTATGTTCTTATTTCTTTATGGTTTTCTAAATGTATAGTGATAGATGTTTGGTCTTGCAACTTCATTAGCCTTAACGAGATACTTGATACCAGACAATTTACTTGCTGCTAGATATCACGCATTCCGTTCCAAATAAAGCAGAGATTTCCATCGACTCCTTCCCAACCGCCTTTACTATCCCCTGGGGTCTTGTTAAGCTTATTCAAGGTTTTTGGCTCCTAGATCACAACGATTATGAAGTAAGTATGTTGCAGTTTAGTCAGCCATACATCTCAGTACAAAGCTATAATCTAAAGAATGGTTTTAAAAGATTGGTGCTTAGCTAATACCAGGTGATGAAGCGTTACAAGCTTTTTTTGGTAGTGCTGCTACAACACCTTCAACGAGAAATTATGATTTGAATTTTTGTTTTAATTAATGTATTAATCTAATTTAATTTGACAGGAAGTTGATTAAAACCAAGAAGAAACCCACTTTAATAATGCCTGATCTTTGACTTTTCAAAGCCATCTGTTTAGGCTGTTGCCAGCAGACCAGTCGAGCGCTTTCTCAACAGCAATGGTTTTGGTACTTGAAATAGTAAAACTCTGATCGTAGCAGCAAGATTGGAGGCAGAAAACTGCAAAAGTGACTTCCCAACCTAATTCACATTCTTTCTGATGCTGCAGGTTGTTCTTTGCCTGTCGTGATGTTAACATAATCTGTTTGTCTGGGGGAATGACTTATGAGTTAGTCACTTTTTATAAATAAGTGATGTTTGTATACAAGAGATTTGGTTACCCTAGAAGGGTGTGAATTACTCCTCTTAAAACACTCACTTTGTTCTGTATGGCTAATTGAATGTTTTTTTCTGCAAATACTTAGGAATTGTTATTTACATGTCCTATATCAAGTGTTCCATTAGTTAACCCTCTAAGTTTATTTAAGACACATTGCCTCTTTCTTAAGAAACGTTGGAATACTGGTGTTGCATGAGCATATGTATAGATCTTAATACACCTGATCTCTCACTTCTACAGAATTCGCTGGCCCTGTTTCTTCATCCAGCTACAGTCAAAACTGTGTCGTGGCAACATACGAGAATCATTCGATCCCTTGTGTGCCAAGGAGAACACAGGCGAGCCCTCAGATACATACAGATGATGAAGCCACCAATGTCAGGCAGTAGTGATGTGCGGCTTTTCCTCACGGTGTTCTTGTCCAATCGGTAAAGGAATCTATCCTGCCATTTTGGTGGTCAAATATTGTGAAAGGTGGAGAACAAATAATAGAAAGCACGATTGCCTGAAGTTCCTTTCAGCTTTGAATACAATACTTTGGGGGCACCTTTTTGGTTATACTAATATGCCTTTGCATCTCAAAAAACCTACTTACAGGTGTGTGATGGAGGCTTGGGGTCTGCTGCGGCAACATACCACTACGTTAAACATGGAAGAGCTGTTGAAACACATGTATGAAATCTGTCAGGAGATGGGACTGATGGAGGACTTACTGAAGCTACCTCTCTCAGAGACTGAACAGGTAAGTGTGGACAAGAAAAAAAAAAGTCTCAATTGTCCCTTTGGAAAGAGAAGAGGCAGAATAAGAATGGATTTTTGACATCTGTTTTTCTCCTAGGAGTGTTTGGAGAAGTTTTTACAGACCAGTGCTGGTGTTCAGAATCATGAGTTTCTTTTAGTCCACCATCTGCAGCGTGCCAGGTACATCCCAGCACTACAGCTGAATCAGGCAATGAAGGCGAATCTTACGGTAAGCGTAAAGGTTCCATCAAATGTGCAAATTTCTGTTAGGTGTTACTAACCATTTCTGAGCGTACTCAAGAAAAGTCCTGCTTTGTTTTTTATGCCATTCTTTGAAATGCTAGGAATAGGTTTCTATACCTTAAGTTACAGCTGAACCTCAAAATTCAGCAAAATATTTCACAACGCCAACGCTAGTCTGCAAAGTTGTAAATTAAATGTTACAGACCATTGCTGACTCCACGAACTAAACCAGCTTGTTTGCATCTGAGGTGTTTCGGGCAAAACAAGGGAAAGCCTGCCATTTTGCAAGCCATTTGAAAATGGCAGGGGATGACAAGCCTATCGGAACAAGGTTCTGCAAAGCGCCAGAACTGTTTTAACTTCAACTTGTACGTTCTGTTATTGTTGAAGTCTTCCTTCCACTTTGCAAAAAATACCAGGTGAAATTGGTGTGTGCTTGCTGTTCTGTGCAGTGGATGTGCTTTACTCGATCTGTGGAGGCAATTTAGTGGCTGATTAGAAATAGCACAGACTTTGGTGCAATGAACTTCCTGTAAAGCAAAGAGTTAACTAATGACGCTTTTCATTCATCAGAATGATTGTGATCCTCGCTTGAGAGAGAGAGCAGCTGCCAGAAATTCTATATTAGACCACTATGGCAAGATCCTTCCTAGAGTTCAAAGGAAGCTGGCTGCAGAGAGAGCCAAGCCATACCATTTGCCTTCACCGGTCTTAAGAGAAGGTAATTTGTGGTGGGGAGGGGGAATATAATGGGCAAATAGCCGTCCCTTTGATTACACAAGGCTGGTATTTTTTTTTTCCCCCCCCCCTTGCTCTACAGTCACAAGACCAAAGCCATTATCAACAGTAACAAAGCAAGCTAATTCAGGGAATGTGCATACAAGAGCAACTTTCATCAGTCAGGTATTGTCCAAAATTGGAGAAGTACGGGCAGGAAATGAGCAGAAAACCCGTTTCTCACAACATGATAGGTAAGCAGCCTTTTAACAAAGTTCGGTGTTGAGCTATATGTTTGGAGAGAGAGAGAAAAATCCATTTGAATTATGTCAGTGTTTTGGAGGGAAGGTGCCCCTGAGTAAAGCTTTGTTTGTGTTTTTTGCACATACAATATATGACATTTCAGAATCAGGTACTATTTGGTGAGAGACCCTTTGTTTACAGAATTTCAGAGAGCTGAAACTGAAACTGCAATTAGCATCAAGCTATTGGTGTATAGATTTTGATAGACTTGATTGTGTGATTAAAGAGTACTCTCTTACCACTTTCCACCCAGTTTCTTCTTTGTTTCTGCCTTTTTTACTTAAAAAGAGGCAGAATCGTAAGGAGCAGCAAAGAGGCCAGGAGTTGTCAATTGATTTTACCCCTGGACTTCAGGGGAATGAAAGTCAGTTACCTTTTCCTTTTAATTCTTGTCCTAGAGCTACAGAACTGCCAGGCCTCACACATCCTCTCCCTGATGCAGAGTTGCACGATGCATTTGTTGGGACACTAAAATTTTCACCAAAACATTCCAGGTACAGTAGATCTCCGGGATGAATATTTCAAAAAAGTGTTGCTTCTCATATATATATATATATATATAAAACACACGCACACACACACACAGACACACGTGTGTGTGTGTGTGTGTGTGTATGTGTTTGCAAAATGTTCTGTTTGCATTTAGTTTCCTATCTGTTAAAGAAGAGGTCTACTTAGAGGCACACCTCATTGCAGAATTTGAAGTAGTCCCAGCATTGAAATGCAGATGAATTTTCTTCTGTTGTGAGAATTACATTGCTTGTGCAACTTAAAATTGGATTAGTCTTGCTTCAGAGGCAGTGATTGAGGAAATTAGGCATGAAGTGTAAAGAAGTAATTAAAAACACAAAAGAAAATGCCTGTAACTTGTTCATGGGCCTTGATACATCACCCCAACAGCGAGGGTTCACCTGTGTTTCTTGTTAATTGAAAGTTTTTTGTTATGTATCATTTAAGATTTCTGGAACGCAGTGTGATTTCTTTCATTTATTTATTTATGTTCTTATTTTAAATTGTGTATCTTGACAGATTGCTGGATTCGGTGGTTCGTCCTGTTCCTTCATGTTCTGCAGCACAGGATGGAGGCTGGCAGTCACCATGGAGAGTTTCTGCTTCATTGGTGGCATCCAGCCCACTGAAGTCAAATATGCATGGTTCCATCTCAGGTTCCAGAGCACCAGAGCTGAAGTTACTAGAGACGCCTCTTGTGGTTAAGGTTTGTATTTTAAAAAACCTGTAACAACCAATCAAACCCAAAAGCCTGTAAACGTTTTTTAATGTGGAACCACCAAAGTATTTAACACAAACACTGTTGGATTCAAATTGTGGGATATTTTCAGTATGCATGTGGTTATTGTATACGCTGTCCTTTGGAAGCGGTACCTTGGGAAGAGTCTTGAAGGGGAAAGTGGAGTTCTAATCTGACTGCAGGATGCATGTTGTCCCATAGTTTTGTGAAATACACTTATTTTCATTGCATGGAACAAAGTAAGTTAAAATTGGACTTTTCAATATACTTTGACACCTGAAGCTGCAGTTTGTAGCTTAACTATCTCATTATTTAAGGGCTCAATAGCTATGTTTAGTTTGACTTGCATAGCTACAGGCAAGAATGTATACGCTAACTAAGTGATGTCAGTTAAGTAATGTCAGTCTCTGTCAAATTCAGTGATGGTGTTTTGTGGTAATTATAGTTACTAATTGTTTGTGTTAGGCTGTATTTCCATTCACTGCTGTCAGACTCTTCTCGTGCAAGGGAATAACAGTTGACCTGTCTTCTTGGTGCTGATCTTTTTGCCTTTGCCCTCCTGAACAAAACAGTTGTGATGACTCTCAATTACAACCTTTTTCTCATTAACTGTTGTCCCTATCATTAGGCTAGTTTCATTATCGTCCTCTGAAACCCTTTCAATACTGTACCATCTTTTTTGAACTGAGCTAAGAAGACCCCAATGCTTCTAGATGAAGACGTATAGGTATTTTTACAGCAGTGTCCCCCCATTTAGTCTGGTGCGCAGGCTGATTAATTAGTGAGAAAACAAGCTATCGCTGTTGCTTTGCTGATTGCCATTTTGCACAGCAGTGTTTTCAGTCACCGTATCTGGGGTAACCTTTGAAGTTGTATGCCCTCTAGAAGAGCAGCGTAGAAATTGCAGAACTACTGAGATGGGAGAGAACATTGCAGACAACAAGATGCCATACCCTTGTTTCTTCAGGAAATCAGTTTGAAAAATATCATTTTATGTTGGCATTAAAGAAAAAAGAAAAAGCCAAAAGAGCACAAAAGGCATGCGTTTTTTTATCATTCCAAAGTTACAGAAACTGTAAAAAGAGCAGTGTGGAGGCCAGGCTTTGTCTTCTCTGCTGCTACAAAGTCCATTTGTATTTTAAAGTAATACTTTTGACAGGGAATTCTTGTGCTTTGAAGATTTAACTGGTTTTAAAGTAAACGGTTTTGTTTCTTTTCACAGAGAGCTAAAGTTTTGGCCACGACTGCTTCTGGTTTTCCTGGGTTTACTCCTCAGCCTGTTCTCAGATCCAGCCTTCGCACCACACCCTTAGCAACTCCCTCTGCATCTCCAGGACGATCAGTTACTCCTCCCCTACGAGCAAAGGAACCCAGAATATCTTCCAGGGAAGAGAACTCAAATGCAAAATGGACTGTTAGGGTAAGCTGGGCTGTCATTAGTGATTTTTACAGTTAGAGGCTTTATAGACTGTGATTTGATTCAGATTTTCTTTTTTTTAAAGTTTGCCAAAACTCCTTATTGCAAATCAGAACGGGAGTCTTGAATTTGGTCCAAAAAGGGTATGCTAGACCTTCTGCAACATCACGTGCCTGCAGGAACATATACATAATAAATGCCAGTGACCTTGGCGTTTTTACTCGTGTGTTGTTAGGAGCTGTGATTGCTCCAAACTGCCAGTTCAGCTTCCTGCTCTACCTTTGCAAATGGTGGTATGGCAGGAAGGTAAGGCATATAGAGTGAGCCAGTTGCTTGGGTTAAGCTTTGTGAGTTAAACATCTCTGAAAGCAATACAAGTCGTGAGCTGCTTTTGCTTGCACTGTCTCTTTTTGCAAGGCTGACTTGACGTAAAGGATGATACAAAGAGGCTCCTGAGGAAGGGGGCTGTACTGTTTGTTCTCTAGACCTAAAGTTCTTGGTTCTGCTGCTTGCCTCGCGCCAGTGATAGCATTTGTCGAGCTGTCAAATCAAGTTGGTCTATCTGAAAGTTGCCCCCATCTGCTCCTCCTTTTGCTCTGTCAGTTGGATTCCCTGATTCAGGTCATCATGCAGTTGCCAAAGTAACGTACCAAAATTGGGGGCAGAACAGGGGCATGTGCTTGTATCTATATGTATGAGCTTTCCGCACATGTACTAAACAAATTGTCATGATCTGGTTTTCTTATACCTTTTTTTGCTATTATAACGAGCTACTCAATTGTAGCAAGAGGCTCTCTCTCCTATATGAAGTTCTTGCTAATCGTGCAGCATGGTCAGGTTAATTTGATTGTTCCATGCTATAGCGAACACTAAGATATTTTAGTAGCGCATACACATTGAAAAGGCAAGCATAAAAGAAGAGAACTCCTGAGTTAGGTATTTTAGGTATGCAAAGCTCCCTCTTCTTGAAAACACAGTAGTGAACCCAACAAACTGCCTTGAGATGACAGTAGAAGCAGGCACTTACAAGACCCACTTCATCTTCATTCTGCAAGGTCATGGAAACTCACTAAGCAGTCAAAAGCATGGTTCATTTTTACACTCAGCTTTAAAAGTTAAGGTAGTGCTAGAATAAGAAGTCATTTTGTAGTGCCTTGCTGTCCAGAGGAGAGCAACCAAGCTGGTGAGGGGTCTGGAACACAAGTCATATGAGGAGCAGCTGAGGGAGCTGGGGTTATTTAGTCTGGAGAAGAGGAGGCTGAGGGGAGACCTGATTGCCCTCTACAACTGCCTGACAGGAGGCTGTAGGGAGGTGGGGGTCGGCCTCTTCTCCGTGGTAACAGATGATAGGACGAGGGGGAATGGTTTGAAGTTGCGCCAGGGCAGGTTTAGGCTAGATATTAGGAAAAACTTCTTCACCAAAAGGGCTGTCAGGCTCTGGAATGGGCTGCCCAGGGAGGTGGTCGAGTCCTCATCCCTGGAGGTATTTAAAAGAAGGATAGATGAGGTGCTTAGGGACAGGGTTTAGTGGTGGGATGGCAGGGTTAGGTTAACGGTTGGACTTGATGATCTCAAAGGTCTTTTCCAACCAAAGTGATTCTATGATTCTATGAATCTATGTTTAAGGTGACACTTGTAAAACTTAGATATCGGTGTGCTTTTTTTTTCCCTTGCTTTGACAAAAAGCATCTGCATGTTATTGATAGTGAACTTTGGGTTTGTTTTTTTTTTCTTTTAAAAAAAGGTAGCAGAAGGTGATGATGCACTGTCTGGAGCTTCATCTGAGCATCATCATGGAGTGGTGGAGGATGCGTGGTCTGAAAGTAGAGATAAACCAACTCTGTTTACTCTGCGCCATCCGGAGGGTGATGGTGCTGAAATGGAAGGGTCTTCAGAAAGCACACCTGGAGATGGTTTGGAGAAAATGGATGTCAGCAAAGACAACAGTAACTTCTCTGCTGGGTCAGACCAAACTACACTGGAGTACCACGATGCAAAATCACCTGGTGATTTTGAAGATGATGTCATCTTTATAGCTGCTCAGCCAGCTAATTCTTCCACTGAAGAAGCTGCTGATTTTCAAGAAGTGGAGGAGGAAGAAGCGGTGGAAGAGAAACCTTTCCAGATGGAACAAGCAGGTTCATCAGAACTAGGAGAAGAAGCTGGTGTGTTTTATCCTACGATAGCCTACATTTCTGATTTTTTCAAATAGCTCCAAAAGGTTAAATGAGTGCAGCAGTTAAGGTTGAGTGTGCACAAGTGTCCTGGGCACTTGTCCCCAGGCTTTTAGAATTGCCACTGTGTTTGAGTCCTTTTTTAAAAATCCTGGGCATTGTGAATGTATAAGCCCGTTGGCTGGCGTATCTTGTCTGTAATTGCAGCTGAGAGGCAGCAGTGATTTGGGGGAGTTTTGAAAGGGATACAAGGTGAAAACTTAGGCCTCTCAATATGTTTCAAGGGTCCTTGTGTAGGCTGCAGGTTTTTTACAGCAAACATAGTGTATGGCATGCTTTGACTAGATAGATTTTAATTTCTACACACACACACCCCCCTTTTTTTAACCACCTCATTAGTGCTCAGTTAAATAGCTTTCTTCTGGAAGTGAGTCTGCTTGTGTATGTGCTTCTCATTACAGCTCTGCTTGCTCATTTTGCTGGCTCAAAGGCTTATGCAGCCTTTTACCAAAGTTGGTCTTTGGTAATTCAGCTCAACTCAACTTGTGGAAGCCAGTCCAGCTGCTGAGAATGTGTTTCTATGAGCAGGTCTGCTGGCAGATGAGAAGAGCTGTAGCTCACTAGCTGGTGAGCAGTGATGAAGAGTTGGGAATGAAAGTAGGGCAGGAACTGGGAGATGTGCCAACACAGCTACAGTCCGTGTTTGACAGCCAGAGCTCAGTCTGTGCAACTCTCTCCAGAAAAACTTTGCTGTTCCTGGGACATGTCTGCAAGTGTCAGAGGTCTTGAAACAGTTGGTAGCAGTGAGCGCGTACTCCCGCCTCGGTGCATCATATGCAGCCTGATTCAGCCCTCAGTCTGCGATGATTCTGGAGGATCCTGGAGAGCAATTGTTGCTATTGAAGTTCCTCAGCTCCTTGTCTTTCTAAATAACAGGAGTGCCCAGATTCAGACCCCATGTGCATGGGTAAAAGGGATTCTCCAGATGGGAGCGTTCCTAGTCAAGACAGGTGAAAGTATCTGCCTGCCCTATTTTAGATGTCTTGTATTTGGACAAGAAATGAAAGGTGCTTTTTGTTAGAAATAATGTCATTTCTGGACTATGGTACAAACACTCCCATGCAATTTCCATACCCTGGAAGCAGTAGCGGGCAGTCCGTATAGCTCTTGTTTGGCCCAAGCTAGCAAAATGATCACAGTCCCGCATGCTGTCTGCAAGGGTTGCAGGCTGGTTCTGGAGGAAGCAGGCAGTAGAAACAAGGAAGCAAAGGAGGCTGTTTCTAAAATGGAACCTGTGGAGATAAAAAGAGGTTAGCAAGCAGCTGGGTTTGAACACCCCCCAGTCAATCGCTAGAGGAAAGAATGAGACCTGAGATGCATTCTTGTAGAAGAGGGGAAATGGAGTCAAGAAAGGAGAGAAGCATTGCTGGGATGAGATAAATACCCAGAGGGAAGACAGACAACTTACTGCCCCATTGTTAAGAGGGAGGGATGTTTCCTGAGGTTTTTATGCATGAGGTCAGTAGTCTCTCATGTTTAGTTTGTAAACAATATCAGTGGTCATTTTGTTTTCTTGACTGATAGGTTGCATCAGACTTCTTGTTTTACTGGAAAGAAGTATTCAGACCTTCTTGTGCATTTGGAGTCTTGGTAGCATTGCTTTGTTAGATCACTACCCTAGACGAAATACATAAAGGCTCATTTAGGAATCCTAGGAGCATTTTAAAAGACATGATGTGAAGTGCAGCCCGGAAGTCACCCATCTGTCTGTTTTTGTAGGATTTGTGGGAGAATCACATGCTGAACATCATACCCTCCCTGAGGACAGTACGTCAGTGTTTAAAGCTGCTGAGGCAGCTACTTTTGGGACTGGAAGTGAAGAAGGGTAAGTTTAGAAAACAGATACATCTTTGGGTTCACACAACATGGAACTGCTGGCTTTCCTGTGTTTGCAGACTGTGATTTTGACCTGGTATTGGTTCCTTCCTGTGTTCTTATCTAGAATGGCTTTCCTATTCCTTTCTGTCTGTGAACAGAACTAATTTGGCATGAATAGAAGCCAAATTGCCTGGCTGCCAATTGGAGCCTTTTTTTCTCCGGTCGTTGCAGACCCCAAAGGCTGGTGAGAAAGGCTTCATTCAACAGGCTATACCAAGCTTTTTACAGCTTGAGGGTTAATAAGCAGATACGGTGAACACAGGCCCTGCTTTTGTCTGAAAATTGTGTAGCTAAAAATTACACACAAGATTCCTGCAGAAGACAAGTCATCTCTTGTTCTTTAATGCAACTCTGTTGTTCTGTGATCCTCTATCGTTAGATAACTGGGAAGAATGTGGAGTGCTTGGTTTGTTGCATAAACTGAGTCACAAATTGAATGTAGATATGTTGGTAAAGGAGTGTCTAATTCTCCATCGTTTTTTCACTTTTGGAAACTTGAACATTTTACCATGAGAAGGTAATTTGTAAAGCTCTTCCGGCTTTGTTTTGAAGCTTGGTGATGAATTTCTCTTTTTCTGTTCATGAAGTGAAACAAACCACCAGGAGTCCAGTACATCCTCTGCATCAGAAGAAAAAGCCATGCCAGCTGCACCAGATCCAGAGTTTTCTGAATCCCTGGGGGCAGGCCGTGAATGTACGTACAGTATGTTGGAGATGTTGTGTGAGTTAAGGTAGCTGAACTCCTGAAGTAAAACAAGGAGTTTGCCATACCGCTACAGGTGTCTCAGGCTGAAGTGGTACTAGCACGTTGCTGCTAACTTTCATTGAACTGCAGAGAGAATACCCTCCTCAGAGAAAGTCCAGGTAGAAAATGTATAGAGTGTGTTCCTGTTCTTGATAAAGCTGTTCAGAAAACTGGTAGAATTTAACATTGTAGAAGGAGAGACCAGTATTTATTTTACTGTCGTACACCACTACTAATTCGTGTGCTATGGGATCTGCTGCTTGAGTGACTTTTAAAAGGTACTGCACCCTCGGTATTCAGGCCGTGAAGAACAGCTTCCCATCAGTGTGCCTTTCCAGCCACCCTTCCCTCTCTTGTTCTTTTCCTCTATGGACTTGCCAACCGATTTGCCCCTTCCTCTTTTTCTTTTTTTTTTTTTTTTTTCCCCTCTTCTCCTTTATTGCGGGGCTGCCTCCTTTACCAGATAGGTAGTTGTGGCTTCTAGTTTTTGGAGAAAGCCCAGTATGTGTGACAGGTTGGAGAATTGTATTGTAGAATCATAGAATCATAGAATGTTTAGGGTTGGAAGGGACCACTAGTGGTCATCTAGTCCAACCCCCCTGCAGTGAGCAGGGACACTGCTAACTAGATAAGAGTTCTGCTCAGATCACTGCTAACTAGTGTAGTTCCTGCTCCCTCTGTGACTTCCTGTTGCTTAAACCTGTGTATAACGGTTAAGTTAAAACTGTATAAATCTCTTCCAGCTGTGACAAGTATCCTTGACCGTGAGGTCCCTACTCATTCAGAAGATTGCCTGGAGGGGAAGCGCGTGCATTTACCTGAAGAACGTAACCTAGAAGCAGTGGAAGTTGAAGAAAATCTTCCTTTTTCACAGGAAGAACAAACTGTTTCTAACAGTCTTCCTCCAACTGGGGAAATTCATGTAAGTAAACTGTTTTCCCATTTTCTGCAAAAGAGAAAACACTTTGCAAATTGAGGACGGTCCTGTCTCACTGACCGTTAGAAGGCACGCAAAAACATGATTACTACCAGTTGTGTATACAGCTTGCATTGTAAAAGCGCTCACTTTGTTCACGGGCGGTGGCGATCATTAGCCATGAAGAGAAAGCAGAAACGGAGCATGTGCTTGCATACGCTGAATACTCTGTTCTCTGTCCCTTAAGTGCATAAACTTTCATCGGTAGGAGAGAGTTGTTGTGGTTTAGCTGTAGCCAGCAACTAAGCACCAGACAGCCGCTTGCTTACCTCCCCCTCCCCCCCGGTGGGATGGGGGAGAGAATTGGAAGGGTAAAAGTGAGAATACATAGGGGCTGAGAATAAAGAAGTTGTAAAGTCCTTGACTAGTGTAAGCACTACTAAACAGCAGCTGCAGCACTGGTGTGTTATCTCGTGTTTCCCCCCAGCAGTCTGAGGTTCAGCCATGTCCCGGAAAGCAGGGCTCCATCATGCCTAATGGTTACATGGGAAGACAAACACCATCACTCCGAACACCTCCCCCTTTCCTCCTTCTTCCCCCAACTTACATACTGAGCATGACGTCATATGGTCTGGAAAAGCCCTGTGGCCAGTTGGGATCAGCTGTCCTGGCTATATTCCCTCCCAGCTTCTTGTGCATCTGGCAGGGCATGAGGGGCTGAGAATAAAGGCAGTTTTATAAGGAAAGCAAAAGCCACACACACAAGCAAAGCAGAACAAGGAATTCACTCACTTCTTCCCACCAGCAGGCTGGTGTTCAGCCATGTCCAGGAAAGCAGGGCTCCATCATGCCTAATGGTTACATGGGAAGACAAACACCATCACTCCGAACACCTCCCCCTTTCCTCCTTCTTCCCCCAACTTACATACTGAGCATGACGTCATATGGTCTGGAAAAGCCCTGTGGCCAGTTGGGATCAGCTGTCCTGGCTATATTCCCTCCCAGCTTCTTGTGCATCTGGCAGGGCATGAGAAGTTGTAAAGTCCTTGACTAGTGTAAGCACTACTAAACAGCAGCTGCAGCACTGGTGTGTTATCAAGGTTTTCATACTAAATCCAAACCACAGCACTATGCCAGCTACTAGGAAGAAAATTAACTCTGTCCTGGCTGAAACCAGGACACAGGTACCACTGTATGTTTCTAGCTTCACATTCAGTGGTTGTCTGAAAGGAAAAGCAGCATTTCATTGTCCTCAGTTTCATCTAGTTCAGTTTGAAGTTAGCCTGTTTGGTGGTAAATAATGCATTAACAGACATTTTTTAACTTTAGGTTACTGAAGAGAGTGCAGCTGAGGCACAAACCTTGGAAGCAGCACCTGAAATATCACCGTACAGTGATCTACATCCATTAGGCAATCTTCAATATGGTTGTGATATTCTAGAGCAACAGTTCGCATGTGATTTGCCTGATAATAGAGACAGTGAATGTGACATGGCTGAGGGAGATGGAGAGCTTTTTATATCTCAGAGTAATTTTACTTTAGTCTTGGAAGGAGAAGAAGGTGAAGCGGAGCTGGGAGACCCTACATTAGTAGGTGCTTCTAAGCCGGCTGGCACAACAACAGAGGAAAAACCTGTGAACATTTTAGGAAATACTGAAAACCAAGAACATGTTACAAACTCAGTGTCCACTGTAACTAGTGATCAGGAATCTCAGAATATTGCAGAGTCGCTCCCATATGTGCCTGAACCCATTAAGGTAGCTATTGCTGAGAACTTACTGGATGTAATCAAAGACACAAGAAGTAAAGAATTTACATCTGAAGTTGTAGAACAATCTATTCATGAAACCATAGGTAAAAAGGTAACTACATTCCAGAAGGCAAAAGCTCCCTTAACAACTGTGCCAGAAGGAGTGGAAGATGAAACCAGCATACCTCAAGTAGAGTATGTCATTACTCCTAGAACCCGTGCAAGGGGACAACTAAGTAGAAGTCTAAGTATTCCACTGGCAGGTGATCAACAACTATTGAAGACAGACAAACCAGTTTTGTTAGGACTGCCTCCCAGGAGAAGTACCAGGAGAACGAAAGAAGCATCTGAGTCTTCTGGCCTTCAAACAGACACAAATGCTCAACGGGAGCAAGTGGCTGTGATCCCTGCTACTCCTAGGAGCTGTAGGAAGCCTAAACTGGCTAATTCAGAAAAAGTAGAAAGCAGCCATTCTGATGGGGAAGCACTGTCCGCCAGTACGCCATCCACAGCCATTACTCCCAGAAGAGGATTAAGGAGAGCAAAGGAAGCTGCATCTGAACTCTTGGAAGAGGCTAATGGGGAAACTTCTCTTGCTGCAGGTAGCATTATTGCTTCTGCTCCTGCCAAAAGGACCAGAGGAGGGAAAAGCTCATCAGGAGATGAAGAAAGTGGCTGGGCTGACACCGGCCGAAAGACAAAACCAGCAGTCAGTGCCAGCAGAAGCACAAGGAAACGGAAAGACCTGAATTCACAACTTGCTGAAAATACTGTTGAGGATCAAGGGGTGCAGCCTGGTGACCAAGTCCTCTTACCTGTGCCAGCTAAAAGAGGCAGAAGAAGAAAGATGAGTTCATTGGAAGTTTCACAAGATTGGGACCTTGATCGGTCTGCATCTTCGCTTCCTCAAACAGAACTTCAACTTCCTGTCACTCCTAGAAGAAGTGCTAGGAAGGTGGCACAAAATCTCCTGGCAGGCACAGAATCTCTCTCTACTCAGAAAGACATACATTCAGGTGGGAAAGTGGAAATCCTTGAAACTCCTAGGAGGAGAAGAGGAAGAATTCCCCACGCTAAACCCGAGAAAACAGATTCTCATGAGCAAACACCTGCCCAACCAATTGAGGAATCAGCCACACCCAGGACTCCAGCAAGGACAGGGCGTCGGGGCAGAAAGGCACGATCAAGATTGGAGGAGAGCACGGGGGAGGAGGCCTTCCCCCAAGAACCTGGTGGCGGTCCTTTGGTGCTTGAAGACATAAACCCATCAGGACATGATGAAACATCAAGAACTTTACCAGATCGTATTACAAGAACCGGATCCCGCAAAACTGCCATGCATCAGAAACTGTCTGAGGAAAATGAGTCCTTCCTTTTCTCTCCTCCTCTCACAAAGCTGACAAAGAGATTTAAAGGTAGGTGCATTGTGTTCACGCACAAAATAGGGCATATTGCTGTCTTTTAAACGATGTAAAACAGACTGCGAAGGCTTTGAGTATTGTAAAGAATGTAACCGGGCAAAAAAAATAATTTGGAAAGAGGCAATCCATCTTTTTTCTGAACTCTACATGCCTGGCTGACTAGTTGTGGTTTAAACAGATGAGGAGTCTTCTCAGAGTAGAGTGAAATGAAGTTTAATCTTAATTTCTGTCATGAGCTTAATTTCTATCCATTTTTAAAACTGGAGGGTAGCTGTTAGTATGTGATTCCCATTCCTGCCCCCCAGTGGAGAAATAAAGGAGACATGCTTCCAAATTCTGTTCAGTTTTTAACTTAAAATGAGCTGCATCTTGCGACAAACTATACAGCTGTTTAATTATGTGGTCGATTTTCGTGGGTATTTACTTTGTTAGTGAAATTATTGCACATAGGGTTCTTTTATTACACTACATGATAATAACATTTTTTGAGATGTGTGAGGACAGTTGATGCCTCTTGAGCATAATATCTTTGATTATGTAAGTGCAGATAAAATCGCTGCACTGGCTTACTTTTCTTTCACAATTTACTGTAAAAGAATGGATTCCAAGAGGCAGTTACTAGGCGAAAAATACCTCGACATCAAGTGTTTATAAACCTGATTGGACCTTTTATTTCAGGAAGGTATGGTGCTCTTGATTATCAGCTGTAATTTAATGTCACTGTCCTTTATGTGTAATGTGTGTGCATGTTAACAAATACATTGTCATTTTTAGCTGGAAAAGCAGACCAACCTGTGCAGCTTAAGGATTTAGACCCAGACTTGTCTTCTCAAATTGTCTTTTCACCCCCACTTTCGAGATCAAGGAGAAAAAATGTGTCTAGCGTTTCCCAAATTGTGAAAGAACCAGTAAGTAAAAACTCTATTTGTCTCACTTTCTTCATTTTTGCTCTGTACCGATTTTTTAAATCATACTTTGCAATGCTTTGCCTTTTTCCTTGGAAGTATATCTAAAAAGAGAGCCTTAAATAAATCAGGTAAACAGGGGTTTTTTCCTTCGTGAAAACTAGCTGCAAAAATAAATTTTGAATCTATGTAAGTCAAGAATTACTAAGTATTGCTTTAACAAAAGGCACAGTGGCTTTCTTTAAACTTAGTTGGTGTGTTATCTGTTAATTTCAGAATTTGAACTTGTAGGATGGTACCATAATCTGAAATGGAAGGTTTGTTTTTTGTGGAGAGAAATTATAATGCTTTTGGAAATAACTTAGTCGTGACTTCTTCATTAAAGAAACATTCATTTTTATTCTGTAGAAGTGTAAGAGCTTGTGCATGAGTAACGTTTTTGTTTCCTTAACGTAGGAGCTTCCAGCTAAGGAGGAAGAGGATACCAAATCCATAGAGTCTGTGGGAAAGCAAAAATTGAAGAGAGGTAGAACTGCAAAATCAAAAATGAAGCAAGCAAGCAAGTATAAAATACTTTTTGAACACTTATGCACATTCCTTTATCGTGGTAGTGATTCAGCTGTTAGCCACCTAACAACTTCTTCCTCATTTGGCTGTGCAGTTCTGCTCTGACTTTACAAGCCTGTCCAGCTTGCTGGTCTAATAGGCACCTTTTTTCCCCACTTAATGGTTTAGTTTTCTAATGGAAGCAGAAGGGGGGGTTAGAAAAGGGCAAGTGGATACTACTTTTTGCAATGATGGCGTGCTCTTACCTTGTCTTATTCCACCTCATGAAACCACACACTTATGTCTGTAGTCTCCCATATAAGGCAGGAGGGGGTCAAAAAGTTGGTAAAGAGAACTTCTTGTTTCTGCATGTTTTCTGGTTCCTTGTGGAAAAATGTTTGAGGAAGGACATTTGCCTCTGAAAAGATGGGGAGTGGGGGGGGTCTAACAGCTGCTATGAATAGTGACTGAGAATGCTTGGGACAGCCTGGTAAGGAACAAAAGCAAAAGAAGCTTATTTATGTACCTTTTCTGCCTTGATCCTTTCTACAAAGCAGCCCATAAATAATTCTTTGACATTGATTTTTGTCATTCCACTTTTTTTTTCCCCTCTACTAAACACTGCTGGTAACAAAAAATCAATTTGATACTTCTCTTTCTTTTCAGAACCACAAGAAAAGGAGGTCCTTGGTCACCTCCACCAGTGGAAATAAAATGCATCTCTCCTTTTGGAAGTCCAGTGGATGGAACAAAAAGCAAACAGAAAGAAACTGGAGACACAGCAGAGAAGACTCAACGGAAGGGCAAAAAAAGACTGTCTAATTTTCCAAAGCCAGTTGTGTGCCGGAAGATGCTGTAACCGTTTTTTAAGTTTATAATGTACACCACTGTTTGTAAAGTCATCAAATTTTGTGGATTAGTAAAAAGAAAAAAAATAATCTAATTTGGAAGAGCTAATTTATATAAATTATTGTAAAATTTCATAAACAAATGGTCTTCAATAACTCCATATGGAGTGTGATTTCCTCAGTCAATGCAGTTTTCTATTTTATATTAAGGCTTCATACATTTATATAATATGTAAATACAGCTTATTTTAGGAATGTTAAATAAAAATGTATACTTCACAATATACTTACTGTCTGATAGCTTTTTGAGGGAATAGTGGGTTGAATGGCCTGTATTGCTCAGAAATTTTTATGTTGGTTTGCAAGAGTTGCTGACCCTGAAAAGTGAGGCCGAAAGCTTTTTAAGCTTTTTAAAAGTTTGCTTAGAAGTCCTATAACAAGTAAACATGTAAAACCTACTAGTTTAAATTTTATAAATGATATTTGACCTTCTGGCCCAAATAATTGGGCTCACGATACAAACTGGTAATTCCTTACATTCATGGTTAAGTTGTACTGTATTGAAGTCAGAATGTAAACAATTGTATTTTAAGCTGTGCAATATTTTTTTGTATTTGTCTTAAACTTTGGCAAAGCTGCTCTTTAGTTCGTAAAACTAGATCACACCTCAGATGTTTCACTATTTTTTACAATTTGTTGTCAGCAAAAAATTAACTGTATAGAGGGTGTGATGGTTACAATAGCATATCAAATTTGAAGGGGTGTTACCCACATACTTTGAAATTTGAGCCAAAATTATTTTCATAAGGTTAATAGGAATGTTACTGTAATGGAAATAACATCTGTAAACATATTTTGCAATATTTGAAGCCTGCATATCACAGCACTGAAAATGGTAAAGCTAACATAATAATCTGAAAAAGGTAAAAAAAGTACAGAATTCTTGGTTACAAACAATATTTTTGAATAATTATTTCATTAATAATCTTGGGTTATGGAGTAAATGTCCCTATAAAGCTTCAATTTGTAAAAATAAATTCAAAAACCCTATTCTTTTAAAAGCAGACATGGAAGTACTATTTTGATGTGCAGTCTTTTAGCCAATGGATTATTTTTATGTATGTTAATTTATATATGGATGCAACTTTGCAGACTACAGAATGGTGGAACCTGACATTAAACTTTTCAGTTAGTAAAAACTATTATAGTTACTCTAAGAAATAATTTATTGGTTGACTAATACCTTGTACATAATGGATGAATGTATTAATGACAGACTAAGCTTGTAAAAGAAGCTGCTTCTGGGGGCCATGATTTTTCTATCTTGGAACAGGCCATTCTAGAGAAGCAGTTGCATGCGCTTGGGTATTTTTCTCCTTGGGAGTATTCATGACTGAATGAAAGCTGAAAAAAATGCCACATGTTGACAGTGTGAAAGTGGCAGTTTGAGTGAGACCTTTCGGTCAGGTTAGTAATTATTTACTCTCGAGTATTTTTTTACTTGAACTACAATATAAATTCGGTCAAAGAGGAAGGGGGGGGGAAGTTCTAACTATTTTTTTAAATGCACAGTGTACAGAAATGCAGTGAATAGCTCAGAAAATGGGCTAAAAGATGAAACTCAAAACCAGAAAACAATGGACATCAAATCTGAATAGACCTTTTGTGTAGTGCACAAGAGTATTTATAAAATGCTCCAATTCCTGATCAAATGGAATTGACTGATGAAATGCTAGTGAAGATTGCTTAATAGGATTTTAATGTTTCTGTCATTTATACTTACGTTATAGTTTTTGTATGAAAATCAATTAGAACAAATGAAAACATGATACTAGCTAATTCTGTTGATAATTTGTAGTAATTTTTAGCCTCTATTTTCAGCTCAGCTGAAGTAGCCTCATTTGGCAGTGCTTTGGAGGAAAAAAAGAAAGCAATAGTAATAACAAGAAAACTGGCATGAGATTTAATAACTTCCTTACTTTTGTAATAGTTGTCATTTTTTACTCTAAAGGCATTTTAATCCAATTATATGTTAAAATGTTTTCCTCCATTTTTGTGCAGTTACTTAGATTCAGTGCGTAGTTCTTGGATGCTGTCCAGTTTCCCCAGGGAGCAGTTGAAAAAGAATAGGAGTGTAAGCATAATGTGTAACAAGGAATGGGATTTCAGAAGGTTGAAGGACATAGAAGGAAATGGCAGCAAAAACAGGCACTGGGAATTTTCATTTAGAGCCTGAGAAAAGGAAAAGAAGCCAGCTAACAGCATCAAGATGGCAACTCAAGGATGGGAGTGGAGAAAACAGATTTTACTTGAGGGTTTTTTGTGTAGGCTTGCTACAAATACGTGAAGGATAAAGTAGAAAAGATCATTTCAACGAGGATAAGCGAGATCCAGTGCCTGAGCAGTGCTTCTTAACAGTGAGGATTAATGGGGAAGGAGACTGCCTTTTAAAAATTAAAGTGGCTCAGGGGTGAGTGGCTGAGCAGGCCAGGAGTCTTCAGAGAGAATTGCAGGTGTTCACACATGTATCTGATAGGAAGATGGTTTTCATGGTACCAGAGAAGGGCATGAGGGGCCTGTGTAAGAAAAAGGGGTGATGCATCATGGTGGTGGATGCGTGCAGAAAGCTCTAGGGGCATAGAGCAGCAATTCTCTTGAGAGCAAGAGGAGAATTTCACGGGAGCTACTCTGTGCAGTTCATCACTAAACACAGCAATTCTGAAGTTTTTCTACAGCAGATTTAATTGCTTGAGGGTTGGTTGGTTGTTTTTCTCCCCCTAAAGAAGAGCTGGGATTTCTCAAGAGTGTTTTGATAACATCTGCTTTGATCTAATATCGGGCTGAAGCTAAGTTGTACATCTGTACCTTTGGGGCCGTAACCCCAGGGAAGATTGCACTGGAAGGTTGACTGCCTTGGGGTAGTAAACTCTCAGCTTTCAGAAAGAATAAAAGTAGGTGTAATAGCAGATTTTATTTCCAGGAAAGACATAGTAGGGGATATTAGTGAAGGGAGAATAAATATTAATAAGACTAAGGGCTGTTGTTAGAATTTGTCAAAAAAATAAATGTTTCAGTAGAAATAGTTCCCTGAGTTACCTCAGAGAGTTAACACAAATATTCATAAGACTTTATCTCTTCAAAGGTTTAGAAGCCAAGGCTGATGAAAGCATTAAGTCCAGGTTATAACGTGAAGGGACGTTAAAGCAAATGCATTTCACTTTTGATAGCCACTTGGTGTTTTAAGTATTAACGGATTCACAATGACTGCGTTTATTTGCCTTAATATCTGTACATGCCTAGTGTGCAAATAAGGCCACAGATAACGAAATAGTTCAATCCCCCGTCAAGGACTTCCTCTCATGGACAACTACTCTCAGGGTTGTCAGCGCAATAAATTTATCTGCTGCAATTTCATCAGTTCCCATGTAACTAATCATAAATAGCTTAGCTGTTCAGTTCTGGTGGAGAGAAAAGCAAGCTCAGGCAGAATCCATAGTTTCTGGTGAGTTAAGCAATGCTTGTAACCTATTAGTCTAGGCCAATCTGAAAAGACTATGAAATAATGGAATTTCAAGGAATAAGATTGCATTTGTTTCTTAATTATTTGTACTTTTATGTTCTGTGCAAAACTTCCAGGTTTCCATTGCAGGAATGCTTTTTTTCACCAAAGCAGTCAAGGTGATGAGTCTCTTTGATATGCTTGGAGATAAACATCCTGTGGTTCCTTTTGAATTAAAGCTGTTCCTAAAATAAAATGCATTTTCCAGTGTACTGTGCTATGCGGATGAGCCCTGTGTGAGATGGAGGGGAAAAACACAAGTTACGGTTACTGATGTGCCCGTCCATTGAGGTTGCTTACTCCTCGGCTGCGTATCACCTGGCATAGGTCAAGAGCAGTCACTGGTGTGGCGTGCATTGCCGTCGAGCTTGGTTTAAATCCAGACTGAAAGGTGAATTACTAGGGAATGACCGATTCCTTGTTTTTTGGTACTACAGTTGTGATTTTAATACCAGGGAGAGAAGGATGCAGGAGGATAGCTGTGTGATTTCTGTGGACACCAGCAGCGCAAGCGTGTATGACCCTGGGAATCCAGGGCACAGGAGCGCCTTTACTTTTGATCTAGCCTGTTGGTCTCCTAGTGGCTTCCTAAAGGATGAGAATGGTAAGCTCATGGCAGCAGGATCTAACTGTTACACAGACCAGGTAAGACATTATTCAACGAAAAAGCGGTTTTAGCTAATACACAGTTGTAGACTGGTCAGTTCGTTTATCTCCCATTATAGACATTCATGTAAATGGAATGCAAATGCTGGCGTTTATCAGTTTGAAGCATTAGCTAGATTTTTATCTGCATTTCTGTCATCCCGGAACTCAGTACGCTTCCAAGTGTGTTTGCAAATCTTCATTCCTAATTTAAACTATTAGTGGGGGCACTCCTAGTGGACAGCAGTGCTTGTGTAGGCATTTGCTTGCTCCTCTATGAAGAGGATGCACTTGATCGATTTTCAGAGAGAGGTCTTTAGTGATGTCGGTCAAGCCTGGCAAGGTTATAATGCTGCTCTGCTGGCGTTTGGTCAGACCATCTCAGGGAAGAGCTATTTGATGGTGGGATACGATGCAAAGAGAGGCCCGGTGCCCATTGCGTGCAAAGAGCTCTCGAAAGCCACCCAGAATCAGGACATGAGCAAGCAGTGCCAGGCGGGATTAGCACAAAGTGGTGTTTGTTTCCCAGGTCTTCCCAGGCTGTCCTTGAAATGACTCAGTTAATTTCAAATTAGCAAAAATAGAAACTGCGAGCACACGGAGCAACTGACAGTACAAGCCATCATGGACCCTATAAAATGGTGTTGAACAAAAAGTTGATGTAGTACAGCTAGACATAGCTAAAGCCCGAAGTGATCATGTGTCACAGGTGTAATTACTGGATCCTTAACAGGAGAACCAAAAATGTCAGGTTTCTAGTCAACCTTGTTTTCAACACCTGTTTGAACATGGATCTTCCTTTACCTACCGTAAAGCGAGCTGATCTTTAATCTCCGTTGGGCTTCCTAACTTCACTCTTGCACCGCACATTCATGAGGAAGTCTTTCCAGCACCTCAGCAAGGAAATGAATGCTTTCTTCTGGACACCTTTAGAGCATCCAGAAGCTTTATAGTGCCATACCTCTCCTGTACAGTAGGAGCCATGGTTTCAGCCTTGCCGTGCAGCTTTTGTAGCTGCTGGATGCTTGTGCTCCATCAGCATCCTTCTGCGCTTACAGCCCAGTGGATTCTAGCAGTGCCATAAGCAGACAGCTTCCCTCCCATGCAGTAGAGCCTTCTGTCTACAAAAATACCACTCCAATTACTGAAGGCTGCTTGTGATTTGCTCCGGTGCCGCTTCCCTTAAGAGCGAGCCCCTTGTTT